TCTCTGCATACTTTGTTTGCCCCCTTTTACCCTGTTCTTCAGTGGTCAGGACCCCCATGGACCCTCACAGAGCAGGTACTATTTGGGTGGGGGATCATTCTCAGCACTGCAGTAACACTGACATGGTGGTGGTGGTGTGTTAGTGCGTGTTGTGCTGGTCTGAGTGGATCAGACACAGCAGTGCTGCTGGAGTTTTTAAACACTGTGTCCACTCACTGTCCACTATATTAGATGCTCCTACCTTGTCAGTCCACCCTGTAGATGTAAAGTCAGAGACGATAGCTCATCTGCTGCTTCACAGTTTGTGTTGGTCATCCTCTAGTCCTTCATCAGTGGTCACAAGACACTGCCCACAGGACACTGTTGGCTGGATATTTTTGGTTGGTGGACTATTATCAGTCCAGCAGTGGCACTGAGGTGTTTAAAAACTCCAGCAGCACTGCTGTGTCTGATCCACTCACACCAGCGCCACATAAGTGTTACTGCAGTGCTGAGAATGATCCACCAGCCAAATAGTACCTGCTCTGTAAGGGTCCATGGGGGTCCTGACCACGGAAGAACAGGATAAAAGGGGGCTAACAAAGTATGCAGAGAAACAGACAGACTACAGTCTGTAACTGTAGAACTACAAAGTGCACCTATATAGTAAGTGGAGCTGATAAAATGGACAATGAGCATAGAAACAAGGAGGTTGTCATAATATTATGCCTGAGTGGTGTATATAATCCTCATTAGCTTTTATTAAATGTAAAACAGAATGTAAAATATTTCACTCCTACCACTGCTTTCATTAGCAGGCAACAGAGCGACAGGTGAGAAGTCATTTCATATGAGCAGGAGATTTATAGCTGGGACTTAGCGACGAGCAACAAGAGACACAGCGTCAGGGTGATGAGGCAAACGTACAGAGATTCTCGGTTTAATGCAAATAAATTAGGATACCTTGAAGCGAGAAATGATTGTGTCTAACAAATTCCTTGGAGCAACTGTAGACTTGGGTCGTCCAAGGTCTCCAGTCCGGACTCTCTTTTTGTTCCTACTAGTATTTTATTTCTATTCCTAGCCTTGAACCTTATATAACATATAATTGTGGTTCATATTTTAAACAAAATACAGATGCATACAGTCATATGCAAAAGTCTGAACATTCAAATTACATGATGGGTTGATTTTAAGTGAAATTAACACATCCTCAAACTTAAATATGCCATTTGCCTGAAAACTGTAGTGCACAACTTCTTGTAATTGTGTCCTGCCTCTTCTACAGGGTGCCATCATGCTAGTATCTCCCTCAGTATTTGACAGTTCTTCGTTGTGATTACTAATGTCAATTTTATTTATCATGTCAAAATCAGTTACTGTGCACGCTTGGAAAAGGAGGCTTGTCCATTACGAATATGAGCAGGCCTCAGACGGTATAACAGCACCACCTCCCGTCTTCATCCCATCTTCGCCCCAGTTTTCATCTGCTGCACAAGCACCAACAAGATGCCAGTTTTCATTTTGGCCAACAATGGCACAATGGGAGTCAGTTACTTGAATCTACATCCGGCATCTTGTGCTGAGAGGTAAACAGATTGTTCACCAGATTGCTATCATATTGCCACGTGCTGCTCTGTATAGTTAGGTAAATAGCAACTTGCATAGCTATCATTATGTTATGTTGATGTTGCTTGATAGATCATTCAGATAAATTCTGTGTTCACAAGAATGGTCTAATTACCATCTACAGCTGAAGCTCTCATACAGAGTGTTCCTGACCTGAGTAAACTGTGCAGTGCACCATGTAATCCATCATCAATTTGTTAGCTTACATGGGGGGGGGGTGTTTATAACATAGAAGAGTTCAACATGGTGTTCCACAAGGCTCTGTTTTTGGGCTTCTCCCTTTATTTACAGCTTCTAGTTCACATAATTTGCAAGAACTGTGTTAACTATGGCAGCTGTACATGTCTGTTCAGTCAGATTCAGTGTTAGAGATATACATAATGGAAGACATGAATGGTTAACTGATCAGGAACTTGCAGGTTGTAGATTTATCCTTGATCTTGATGTTTTTGATGATTTTTTTTCTGTGTGAGCAAAAAGCTTCAATCAGTAACACTAGAAGCTAGTCTATCATTTGAGTCACATGACCCTAACCCTACGAGATCCATCCAATTCAGAATGCAGCAGCCTGTGTGTTCACTGGAAAAAGAAAGTCTGAGCATGTTAGTCCAGTTTTGACTACATGACATTTAAAACCTTTAACAGCCTAGCTTTAGTATGTCTTGCTAATCTGTTGAAGTATTTAGCTTGTCCAGACCACTTCCCCAGCTGAAGCAGTTTTACTGCACACATCTGGAATAGCATTCTAGAGAATATTAGGAAAAGGTTTTTTTTAAATTCAGTTTAAAAACATTTATTTAGGCTAGCATATGTTTAGTGTGTTGGGGCTGTTTTTTCCTATTGTTTGTGATTGTATTATTTAATTTTATTATAAATACTTCTAAATAGATCACATAAAGTGCTGATTTGCTAATAATGTAAAATTTGCTAATAATGTAAAATGCTATATTCACAAACCAGCTAATTTTAGAGCATGGATCAGTTCTACCAGCATTTCAACTCTAGATCTCATTCACACATTAATGCCGTCCTGGAAATCCACAAAACATTTAAGGACAAACCCGCATCAGGTTGTTCTTTCTTGTTCAAGCGCTTAAAAGATTATATCTTGTTTTATTTCTTCTTGCATCATTATGCTTTTAGGCACAGGAGCATGTTTTTTTGCCCAGACCAGAAGGATCTTGTGGCGCTGGATGTTATCGCCACAGTCTACCTTGTTTGTTTGCATTCCTGAGGATTAAGATTGGGCATATTGAAGGAATACTGAGCAGTGTCCATAACAAAACATACCAGAGCTAAAGGTAAACACAGTCAAGGACTCTATCGCTGAAATTCAGTTTTTCCAAACCTTTTTTCTTAGGCTGCTATACCTGTGCTGATGACATTACTTCAACATTTATATTTCATAATTAATTCCAGTCAAATTGTAACATATTGCCCCTCGTAAGTAGAATGTGGAAATAAACACGGAACCACTCACACTGCTCTACGTTTTTATATTACAATGTCAATAATTCACAAATGTAAATAACCTGTAACATTAGGTAATTCATTGTAAGTACAGGCATTATCTATGCTAGATGTGTCTGTCACAGCGCCAGGGCTTCAAATGAGTGGCACTGTGTCCTTGTTTTTCCTTAGCAGCCATCTGTGTTTTAATGTGATAATAAATATCATTAAATGTGCTTACACCTGTCATAATTAGCAGATGATTACATTAGCCTACTGCACTGGCGTGTGTATGATGTCAATCAGATTTCCAACAACTTCAGGAACAGGAACAAACAGGAACAAACAGGTTAAGCACTAAACTCTGCAGCTCTGCAGTACTGCAGGAGTACCTGGTCCTTCAGCCCACTTGTTGAGACTAAAAACAGCAAACCAAAACACCGTTTGCCAGCATATGCCATCAGTGTTGCTTTCAGTAAGGGCACACTATTCCCAGACCAAAACACAAAGGACACTGTTGCTAGAACTTCTCAAGATCAGAAAAACTGTGCCATCGGAAAGGCAGCTTAAAAGCAAAGAAGTTAGTCAGCAAAGTCAGTTAACTTCACATACTCCTGGCCATGAGTGTGAACAAACAGACTGTACATCTTTCAACAGGTTGGAAACTCGTTCCCAGGCACCCTCATTAGCCAGGTAAATTGCTGATAGGGTGGTTTCTTGAGGTTTGAAACACTGTCACTGTTGGCTACGTCAGCTCTGGGGCAAGATGAGCATGCTTTGTGTGACTCAAAGTAAGATGGATGCTCTCAGCTGCATGGTGATGAGACAGGGTTTATACTCATTCAATCAGGCATCCACTGTCGACCATAGATAGGCCTCTCCTCCATTCACATAGATGCACGTGTTACTATGTGGCAATTTCGGCTGTTTTGCCAGGAACAACAAATAGACTCCAAAAATAGTTCTAATTGTACAGTTTCTCAGGATTGAACTGATAATTGAGCACATGTGAGATTAAAATAGTTAGAAGGACTTCAAGAATTTAAATCAATTTAATGAATTTAAATTGGTACAACTACAAACCTAAATTCCAAAAACGTTGGGACAGTATGTGACATGCTAAAAAAACAAAAAGCAGTGATCAGTAAATTCTGTTTGACCTGTATTAAATTGAAAGCAATTGAAAGTATTTGTTGTTTTATCTTTTACTTTTTTCGTTTTTTTTTTGTTGTTGTTGTAAAAATACCCTCACTTCAATTTTATGCCTGAAACACATTCCAAAAATGTTATGACAAGAGCATGTTTTACATCACCTGCCCTTTTAATTTAGATTACTGTTTGAGGATTGAAAACACCAACTGATCAAGTTTTGAAGAAAGATTGTTTTGCTATTTTGCCATTATACAAGTCTTCTGTACTGGGCCTTTGTTATCTTGTTGTCATATCCATATTTTCTAATTATGCAGCCATGCTGCTGTAACGGCATGTCGAGGAAGGCAAGGACATCGAAGGCAGCATGTGTTGCACCAAAATGTATGTATATCTTTCAGTGTTAATGGTGGTGTCACAGATGTGCAAGTTACCCTGAAACTATGACGCACTCTGGCTTTAGTACTTTACATCAGTAACAATCTGGACAGTCCTAACCTTTATTCGTCTAGAAAACACTGGATGGTGTATTTATACTCAAGCATGACTGCATTACCTGTTTAAGATGTTCTAAGTGTTAAATTGCTGCTGTCCCAACTTTTTGGAACATGTTGCAGGCCTCAATTTCAGAATGAGTGTATAAGTTAATAAGGAAAAACAGGTCAAAGTGGATTTACCAGTCATTGCTACAGTTCACAATACTTCCCCTACTTTTTGGGAATTGAGGTTTATACAATTACAATTACAGTTACAATTCTAAAATAATTTCACATTACACAGATTTAATTTTTTTTTTATTAAGATAAAAATAGTCATGGTGGAAATTATTATTATAAGGTGTATTCACATGGTTTGACAATCATGGCACATTGTAAAGAACAATACATTATTTAATGCCATAAATTGATTTGGTTATCCTTACTGCTTTAAGGCTGTGGTGGATTGATCTGTGTTGGTTGCAGTTATATTTACTGCATTTGTTAAATAACCTGCTTCTTATATTATATAATATTTTCCTTTGTTTTGCTGTTTAAATTCTTGCTTTCTTGTGTATGTGAGCAGATGCCTAATGTGGCTAAAGTTTCAATTATCTCGAGATGCTGTGCCCACAAAATTCACTGGAGTTGATTATAAAGAAATGTTGGTAACCTTAAACAAGAGTCCACTTTACCATTAACATAATATGTATTAGCCAACTAAAGTGCTCTGTAAGTGTATGATGGATTGACTTGTGCTGTATGGACTCATTCTGTAGCCAGTATGAATACATTCATAATGACTTTGCAGTATGAATTTAGAATGGATGGATGGATGGAATGTATCTTTTTTGATTAATATTGATAAAAGCAGCTTCTCTCTACCTTCCCTTGTTTCCAAAAACAATGGTATTTTGACACATAGACACCTCAAAAAATTAATGTAAATTAACCTTTCTTCACATACACGAAAGTATTTTGTCTGAAATCCAATAATTTTACAGACACGTCTGGTCCACATATGAGAAAATGTGCAAAACAGAGAGAAAAAAATTAAGTGCCATAAAAAGACAACTTCATAAATAAGAGTATTGTCTATCACAACCAATGAAAAAGCTTTTAGTGACAGGAACTTTGGTTCAATTACAAACAAGGAATTAGAATATTGTACACTTATATGAAAAACAAGCAATAAAATAACACTGCTAAATACAAGTCCTTTCACTGGTGGGAATTTTCAGAAATTCTGGTTAAGAAGTAATCCACACATAAGTTGTATTTAAAGCACCGTTTGCAAGTAAGGAGTTGAAATGATCACTGATCATTAGCATAATTGTTTCGAAACCCGTACATTTTCATTACAGCTCAGTGAGTTGGACCTGGATCTTTATCTGCCTCCTTTGCTACATGCTAAAGTGCCTGTTAAAGTGTCATTAAAGCAAGAGGCTCCGCAAATAGGCCTTAGAGGAGTTCCACTTAGAGCCTCTTGCAGTTCGGCAGTGAGAGGCTGCAGCCATTTATGCTGACCCTTCTTATGCCCTGGGTGTCTGTCACTGGTGCCAGGGTCTGAGTAAGGCTAACCTGTGCATTACTAAATGACGTAATTCTCCCACTCCCAGCAATCTGCAGGTTGACAGTGGTTGCATAGCTGGTTTTTAAAGTCTTATTCCCCTGTAATGGCACACTGTCCTCTCTTTTACCTTCTTCTGAGCACTGACTAAGAGTGTCTCTTTCAGGTACAGGAGGGGTCCGAGCCACATAGGCACAAATAAGGCTACTTCGGCAAGTAGCCTTTCCTAATTCGGAGTCCTCCTGTCCAGATTCGGGGCACAGTGAAGAGGTTAACATGTCACATTCAGAATTGTCCTCTGGATTATACTTGGTCAGCAGTTCATGCACATCTGGCCAGGCAATGCTTGTCAAGTGCTTTCCTCCATGGTTAGTCTTCCCAACTGTCAGCCTGACAGGAGACTGAGGTCCTGGACTGACACATGTAGGGGTGCCATTGTAGGACCGTCCACGAGGGCTAGTTGTGTTTGACTCTATGTCTACTGACCATCGTCCATTCTCAGCCCAAGACCTGTGCTCATTCCTGGAGGGGCTGGGTGGTCTGCCTGCCAGGCTCACAAATGGTAAACTGCTGCCTCTTGATCTCCGCTGGTTCTGAGAGGAGGACAAAGAAGATGCTGAACATGGAGAAATGACTCTGGAGCCTCTTGAAGAAGAACTTGCTTCTGTTCTTGTTGGGGAGGAAGGTGTCACTGTTGATGGGTTCCTTGGCTGAGGGCTTGCAATGCAGTAAACATTTGTAGGAATTCCTATAGGAGGTGGGGAGGTGACCCTTGGACTTGGGCATGGAGACAAAGAGCAAGCTGAATTTGTTCTTGAAAACTCTAAACAAAGAGGTGTAAAGGGGCTGGCCACACCTTGCCTGGGGGTCCGTGGATTCGGAGGCTTGGTTGTCAATGGACCTGTACTGCTTTGGACAAGAGGTGGGGAGCAAATTCGGGTAAAAGGAGATGGCGAAGGGGAAGGTGAGGGTGACTGCACACGAGAGTTAGGCTCGGAGGATAGGAATGGTCGAGCAATTCTGTTGTGAGAGGCTCCTCTCTGGGTATCAGGGAGCTGAGGAGTGCCTCCTATATTTGATAATGATGGCTTTTTGTGATTGCCAGCCCATCCATTACTGCAAAGACTGTTATTGTTATTGTTATTGCCATTCAAACTAGTATGTGGAGATGGTTCAAAGTTATCTGACCTTGTGTGTGCAGCAGAGGGTACTGAGTGGAAGTTGGCAGGGAGAGCTGGTGACATTGATCGATGGCTGCGATAAGGAGGTGGGGACTGTACAGTTGCTGGGCTGGATCGCAGACTGTTTGAGCGGAATGGGGAAGGGGGACACTTTGGAATTTGGCTTCCCATCCCAGACAAGCCTATGCTGCCAGTATCAGATGGTACACATGAGTCCAGAGTAACTGCTTTGGGGGAGGGAGACCTCAGTCTCAAAGCAGATGCGGGGGAAGGAGGGGAACTGCAAGAAGGAGAGGTAGCCTGAATGCGAGCATTCCTTTTGGCCATGCTTTGAGAGATTGTCTGACTGATACAAGAGGCAGCAAGTGACTTGGCAAGGGCAGAAGCAGCTGCAGAGGAGCTGAGATTTTGAGAGCCTCTAATGGGGGACGGCGAGCGTATCCGAAGGCTCGTACTAAAGGCAGATGGTCGTTTAGTTTCTGAAGAACAACCTGAAGGAATGCCTGAAGACGTATTGCTGAATGATGGATCAGAGAAAGAAGAGATCAGAGAAGCTGATGATGTGTCCTGATCCTGCTCCTTGGACCAGGGCTCACTCTGTGGTAGTCTGAAATCATAACAAAACCAAGATTAAACTATTTTGGCAACAGTACATCTGAATATAAAACAGACCAAAAACAGGGGGCAGAGAATAAGCACTATTGCGACATATATCTCCATCTGAAAGAACAACTAATCATGTCAAAGCCTTGTATTTATAATGATCTACTGCTGAATGCAAGAATAAATTCATGCACAGTGAAGTACCTTTGGGAAGACGTAACAGTTGATGTGTTCCAATTAGCAGGAACGTTTCTTCTTCCCATGGCAGTTGGCAGATTGTCAGGTCTTTGGCTGGTGAACTTTGGAAGATTATCTGTGGTAGGTCCACAAAGAGGAGGTGTAGGAGGAGGGCTCAAGACAGATAAACCGTTGTTTAATGCCTCCTTGCCTTTCAAAGGCTCTGGGTTTTGCATGCCTCCTGGTTCAAGTGGAGATGGCACATTTGTAAAGCTTGGTGTAGGTGAGGGCTGAGACTGGAGCTGTGAGGAAAATGACTGCTCGGATACCTCCAGTGATATTTGGAGTTCGCTGTTGCTTGTTATTTCTGAGGCACAGTTGTTCAAGTATGGTGATGGCACTATGGCAAGAGATGCCTCATTAACGTCAACAGAGGATTGAGATACGTTAGGCGTGCAGTCCTCTGTGCAAGAAACTGGATAATCAATGGAATTTACCGATGTCTGCAGCTGCGTTTCATTCACTTTCTCATCACTGGAGAGTATAGTTTCACAGGGCTTTAAACTTGAGTTGTTTTTATCTTTGGCACTGTTGGTTTCTTCTTTGAGGCACTGAGCTGCTACTGGATCAGTAAAGCATTCATCCTTAGAGTCAGAATAGCAAGACATCGCTGGTTTGTCAGGTGGTAATTGTCTTTGATGTCCGTCTTCTTTCACATACATGGGTTTTTCTATTGCTACCGAATGGTCTTCAGTGATTGAATATAAAGTATGGTTAGTCTTCTGTTCGGGCAGAAAGTCACACTGATCAAATGACGGTTCTGGCACAACTTGTGCTTGTGAATCAGAGCTCAGTGGAGGTGATGGGCCTTGGTCTGCCTTGAAAACCATTGCTTGTTCTGTGGGGCTCAATTCATGTTTTTGTAAGGGGCTCTCTGAGGAACTTTGTGATATCACAGCTCCCAAATCTATGGCCAGCTTTTCTTCTGTTGCTTCTAATGAAGACACTGTGGAGGATTCAGATGAAGACATTTCTATTGCACCAGATTCAAGTTGTACAACCTGCTCTTTTTTCCCAGAGAGGTTACAGTCATTTTCTTGGTGATAAGTTGTGGACAGCTGCTCTCTAACAATGACATGTCCAAACGGCTCAGGTGAAGAGGGAACAACAGACTCTATGTGAACATCTGTGGGAAAAAAGAAAAGAATTATTATATTAAATCATAAATAAGACATTTTTTTATTTATCCCTTAATATGAGTTATTAATTTATTTATCGCAATACATCAGTAGGGTCTCACCTGAGAGTTGATTTTCTGTCTTGACCTCTGCTTGATGCAGAAGTAGCTGAGACTTGGGAGGGGTATTTGCTTTATTGGGCCCTACCCATGGCCCCCATGTCCTTTTCTGATGTAACGGTACCTTCATACTGCTTGCCTTGGCTGTATACATCCGTGCTAGCATCTGCACCTTGTTTAGGATTTTTTCAGAGTTCTCTACTACGCACTGACCCACTGGCCCACCTTCAAAGAATTCTAGGCCAGGTACATCAGCCATCCCTTCGTAAAGCGTCCTACTGCAGGTGACCATCTTACCATGGCGAGAGAACCGGCCCAATTTGATCTGACTGGGTAGGCCATCTAGATTACCATTAGAGGAAATCTTGTCTCTCGCCCCAGTAGGAGACTGAAGTAATTTGCCTACCTTCTTTGTTTCCTGAGGACTTTTTGGCTCTCTGCCTGTTTTAAGGTCTTGTTCAGGTAAAGGCTGCTCATTGAGTATGTGAGTCCTCTTATCATTTGTGGATGACAGTTCTATTTCACTTGCTTCTTTGCGCTCAGCCAATCTACCCTCCTTACAGGTAGAGGCTTTCAGACTCTCAGCCTTCCTCTCCTTCTCCTTCCACAGCTCCATGCAGGGTTTGAAGTCACAAATTTGTTCATCATCATCAGATTTAGACTCACTGTGACTTTGTACTTGGCTACTTTGCGAAACTGCACAGGCAACACTGGTAGAGTCAGGTTGACTGGAAGTCTTTTCATTTTGATCAGGCAAGCTGGACGGTGGGGACATGATGTCACTCTCATTGCAGTCTGAGCGTCCACTCTCAGAATCACACAGGCTGTCCTGGTGTACAAAGACATTGAAGCGCGACACAGAATCTTTTACCAAGCCTGCAGGGATATGAGAGAAGCTGTTTCTTCGTGTCATCTGCCCATCCTCCACCACAGCTTCTGACTCTGCTGCCTCGTAGTAGCTGCGAATCTTTTCAATTATCTGCCTGTCACTTTTGGTCAGCTTTTGTTCAGCCTCTGCTTTAGACGGCTGAGGATTTTCTGCAGATTTAGTTGTGGAGGGGTGATCACAGAGAGTCTGTGGCTCAGCTGGCGTGTCTTGGATGGCTTTTTCCTGGCTGTGTGTTGCATTAGCTATTTCATCTTTGGCAATAGTGTCCTCAGCTGCTTGACCCTCAGCCTCCTCTGGTGTGGCTGTCACTATGACTACCTCTGGCTCAGATGAGTCATTCTGGTTGTCCTCTGAGGGTGTTGTCTCTTCCATTTGATTCTTATGTTCAGACATTTGAGAGGCTGAGGATGATGACAACTCAGAGGGTAAATCAGCTGCTAAACTAAGTGGAGAGTGTCCATTGTCATCTTCTTTGTCTGATATAACATCTAATGGCGCTTGCTTGGTCTCTGGACTCCTTTGTTGAGCATCTTCCTCTTTTACCAGCTGAGGTTGTTGATGTTCATCTAGGTCCTGTGGTTCAGCGGACTGGATGTCCAAGGGCTCTGACTTGGGCTCAAACTGTGAATGATTAATAGTACAATTAAAAGTTAGCACACAATTGAGTATAATTTGCATAGCTAACAGAATTAGGGATGCACCAAAATTTCAGACACTGAAAAGTTTGTAAGAGAAAAAAGAAAAAAATAGGCTTATACCAAACAAACACGAATAAATTTACAGTTTTTCTTACATGCTTGAACAACCATTCAGAAGTCATATTCTCAAAACAGTTAACACATGAGACTAAACAGAGGCTTGCTGTCCAAAGTAACACACTTTCTTTGCAAAAGTTTAGAACATGCCAAAGTATGAGAATATCATGGAATGAAATATCCAGAGATACATTCTAATGCAATGTACTGCACACCACAGAACCAAACAAAAATACGATTTCACAGAATATTCAGAAACATACAATTTCCCTGCATGTTTCTTTTCTCCATACTGTACGTAAGGGATGAAGGACTACATTTCCCCTGTATTTGTAAATAGAGGGTCCCTAACAGAATGCCTGAGCATACATACCATACTGACCCGACATTTCCAGTAAAATCTGGGCAACAATTATAAACCATTGTAAATTACAGAGAGTGGAACAAGGTCCAACCCAAATGTAAGTCAACACAGAACATACTGTACCATACGTCTGCCATTGTATAAAAGCAGAAATGTTTCTGAATATTTTTTTTTTTGGATAAGGATAAAAGAGAATTGTGTCCTATCTACCTTTTTAAGATTCACTGTGTTATCCAACTATTCTTCTTGGTGATATGTATCTATTGATTTGTTGAGATTAGGTTACAGCCAAGGGTTGGCCATTTTAGAATTGCGTATGTTTAAGGATAGCCTGAAGACTCATGGATCCAGGGACTCCCTCTCTGTGATTAAATGTCAGTTATAGTTGTAAATAACAGGTCACTCTGTTCCCAAAAAGTAATTAGTACAGTATTAGTATTAGTAATTAGAACAGCAGGTATCATATTTGACATCTTTTCAGTCTATCTAATATGTGCACTTGGAAGGCATAGAAAATACTTCAAGGTGACTGGACAGAGACTCATAGATGATATATGAGACACAGGCTTGAAAAATGGTTACATCAGAGGTATTAGGCAGTCAGGCCAAGGAGGAGCAGCTGGAAAGGCTCGAGGTCAACAGTAGCAAGTGTATAAGCAAGAGACAGGCGAATGCTGAAGCAGGCCAAGCTCCATCCTTTTTGACTAATTTTACATTTGTTTATCATTTTATTTTATTTTAACCAATTTAAACATTTAATCAATCAACCAATGTTTTTAATGATCACTTTTCTTCAACATCATAAAACCTATTTTTAGTTGAAAAATTCTTCAAATACATCTGGCACAGACATTGCTGACTGTGCCGCCACTTAATTTCTGCACCAACTTGACCCATGTCTTACAGTGTTGTGCAGTAAATTGCCTTGAAAGTCATCATCATGGTACCTATGAAAGAATCCACTTGTCTAATTGTATTTATTTATTTTTTTATAATCTCAATAGGTCAGTCTGTTGTTATGTAAATCAGCTTTATATAATGACAGTCTTATCTACTACCTATTTGATAAGTACTTGTCTGCAGTCTCCTTTATTTATGCTTACAGTCAGCGACTAATGACAAGTGACTGCTGCATTGACAAATTTGCACTACAGAGTTCACATGGGTGCTGAAGGTAGATATAACAATGATATTACTTGCTATAACGTGTCACTACATGTTTTCATTGTTTTTTACAGTTACTCAATTAAGTTTTGTTTTTTTTCTGTGAGATCTGTGTTGACTGTTCTGTAAAATTATGTAAAAAAAGACTGAAATCAATGAAAATTAGCAAAAGGACACTTCTGCTTTGCTAAGGAAGTGACAACTGAAGACTAAGTCGACCCGAGTGTCATTAAATGTGTTTTAGAAAAAGAGAAAAACTGTAATGACAATGATAACAAGAAATAGGGACTGAAAGTACTGTTTGTTCCTGTAGCTTTCCTGCACTCTTCAGCGCAGGTACATTCAAACAGTTAATGCAACAACAGATAAACTGTGAAAATGTTGTCTGTGTTCTATTTCAGAGTTTCTAAGAGAGACATTAGACAAGTGATTTGTAATCTCTGTTCATACCAAGTATCAAGAGGGGATACAAAACCCCAGAACTTCTCAGTTTGATTCCACTTTAAAACATGAAATCCCATTCAATACAGAAAATACAGTGACACAATAGAAGAGGCAGAAAGGTCCCCACTAGCACCCCAACACCATCTATAGTCACAGTGCCAAAGTACAAAGTATAACTATAAAAAATGGAATTAATTGAAAGACCAAATTAATCTCTGCTGTGGTTTAATGGCACATACAATAGCCTATATACTGTAAATTTTTTTGTCGTTTATTTTATGTGAACATTATTAATTTATTGTCAGCTTTTTTGTTTTTTTAGTTTTGGTTTTCAGCCTAGTGTGTCCTGAATTTCGGCAAGAAATCTTTTCAATTACAGTTTCTAGAACAACCTAAAGATGAATAGGTGGTCATTTACTGTACTTGTACATTCCTCACCACATCAGCTGATAGCTCTGCCATGCCCTCTCGTACACAATTCTGGTTGATGAACTGCATGATTTCCTCAGTGATAGACATTGTTGGTGGTGAAGGGAGAGGGGCCATATCCTCATAATCATCCTGAACAAGACTCAGGTTATCTCGGCCTGAATCAACCTCAATAACTGATGATGCGAGTGTACTGGTACTGCCAGACGAGCCCAAGCTGTCGAGCTGTGGGCACAGCTCACCCTCACTGCCAGCCTAAGAGCCCAAAAAAAAATACAAAACATTTAAACTGATATCAAGAAATATAGTCTGTACATTTAAAAAGAACTGGGTTGTACACATAAAAAGAAATTGATCTTTTTCTCAGTTAAAATGAAACTTTGCTCTTACCTTTAAGGAGACTGGTGTCCAGAAATTGTGTATGGCATAACAATAAAAAGGAAAAGGAAAAAAATAATATCTTCAGTCCAAAAGTTATTTCTGAGATTTAATTACACTTTAAAGAAGTTATTTGTTTCTATAAAATCGATTAAAAAAAACAGGCTACACTTTGCATTTCAATGCGTGTATTAACAGCACACATACACTGATCAGGCATAACATTATGACAACCTCCTTGTTTCTACCCTCATTATCCATTTTATCAGCTCCACTTACTATATAGGTGCACTTTGTAGTTCTACAATTACAGACTGTAGTCCATCTGTTTCTCTGCATACTTTGTTAGCTCCCTTTTATCCTGTTCTTCCGTGGTCAGGACCCCCATGGACCCTCACAAAGCAGGTACTATTTGGGTGGGGGATCATTCTCAGCACTGCAGTAACACTTATGTGGTGATGGTGTCTTGGTGTGTGTTGCGCTGGTCTGAGTGGATCAGACACAGCAGTGCTGCTGGAGTTTTAAACACCTCAGTGTCACTGCTGGACTGAGAATAGTCCACTAACCAAAAATATCCAGTCAACAGCGTCCTGTGGGCAGCGTCCTGTGACCACTGATGAAGGACTAGAGGATGACCAACACAAACTGTGCAGCAGCGGATGAGCTATCATCTCTGACTTTACATCTACAAGGTGGGCTGACAAGGTAGGAGTGTCTAATATAGTGGACAGTGAGTGGACACAGTGTTTAAAAACTCCAGCAGCACTGCTGTGTCTGATCCACTCAGTCCAGTGAAACACACACTAATGCACCACCACCACGTCAGTGTTACTGCAGTGCTGAGAATGATCCACCAGCCAAATAGTACCTGCTCTGTGAGGGTCCATGGGGGTCCTGACCACTGAAGAACAGGGTAAAAGGGGGCAAACAAAGTATGCAGAAAAACAGATGGACTACAGTCTGTAATTGTAGAACTACAAAGGGTCATAATGTTATGCCTGATCGGTGTATAATAAGGTTCACAAATCAAGCTCACTCACCACTTTGTTGAAATGCTGCTTCTATGTCCTTGGCAGGGGCTAGGGGCAAATACAGGCAAGTTAGATTTCAATAAATGTCTCTTCTCACATGAGGGATTAGAAATAACTGTTAAAATACTCTTTGATGCCAGGCTTTATAGGTGCATTTAAAACTCACCTGACAGTCTGCGCCCACGGCGGTACGTCACATTCCCTTCCAGAAGCAATGGAAGGCTTTTTCTGGCCTTCTCAGGAGTATAGATAAACTCTGGAGGTTCTGGGAAATAGCGTTGTAAACAAAGTAGCATGTAGTAACTGGCTACAGTTTTGGGAATAGAGAAGAATACTAATACCAACCAGAATCACTTTGCAGGAAGCTTATGCAAATCTTTACACTTCATGCCAAGTTCTTGCATTACATGTTTTCCTGTTTGAACTACTAGAAATACAGTTTCCCAGAAACTCATCTTTTGTTCAAAGTATGAGTGAATATGAATGATTGAAGGTTTTATTTGTAAAAGATGCTGCATGTATGCACAAGTTTTCACAATTTTCATGCACATTGGCACACCCCACTTCGCCAGCAGAATTTCCTGGTAGGCGTGCCATATTGGCAATAAAGTGTTTCTGACTCATTCTGATCATAAAACTAATGATTTTAGTAAAAATGCAATAATTAGTGTTCACTTTATTCATTCATAACCCACACACCTGATTGCCTTCTTCCTCTGTGAAATCCATGAGCATCATCCAACCGCGGAGAAGGAGCAGGTTTTCGGTTTGGTTCTTGCTCAAACTGAGGGGCTGAATGTGAAACAACATGGATATAAAGAGCACTGGCAGTTAAATAAGGGATGGCAATAGGGTATATAAAAATATTAGCACACCTGAATAAAAATTCAACTTTTGCACACATCAAGGACGGTTCTGAAGGCCAGACACACATACCATAAACAAATCAATAAACATCAATAAAGACATAAACATAAGCATTACTTACATTGACAAAAAGTATCACCAAGAACCTGCCTTGCCTGTAAAAAAAGAATTAATTTAATCTACATTCACTATCAGGTTTTAAAATGATGATTTATGTTGCACTTTTAAGTCGCCATAGGTGGCAGTGCAGTTGTCTTAACATGGCTTACTATATTAGTACATATAACACAAGGCTTGCCTTCTGGGGTAGAGATGCAGGATGGTTTTCCACTATTAGCCTCTTGAGGTAGTGCAGCCACAATCGCTTCTCCTCCTGGTTTTTAGCCTAGTGAACAGAAATGCACACAGTTTGCAGCAACAGTAAAGTCAACATAAGTGAAACATGGTGTCAGGGAGGGTCTCTGAGCTAGCTGAGCATTTTCACTCAGTGATAGACGGGGGTGATGAAATGGTCAGTGTATTGTAAGTACTGATGATATTCACAATATGCTTGGAAAAGCATACTGTGACATGATGTGATTTATCTTGATAATGATGAACATCATTATATTGCCCACCCCTACATGATATTATAGGTTAATATTATTTTTCCCTGCCCACTGGTGATGTTTTAGAGGTAGGTAAAATTCTTTCTATTTTGATGGAAGATTACAAAAACATGTTTTAAATTTCATGATATCGTGAATCATGCTTAATATGGTCAGTGATGTGAACTAATAATGTAAAAAAGCTCAATTTTTATTTCAACTTGACTTGCATATGTGTCATTATTCAGCACATGTAGTGTCACTGAATATCTTCCTTTCATTTATACAAATGTGTGTGCAGTTCCTCCACTGAAATGAGACTGCTTTTCCTAAAAATTGATATGCCAGTAATCATAGTTTAAAAGTGGAATCAAAATGACATTCAGTTCAAGTAACACATTAGACATAATCACTGAGATTTCCCCCAGATTCCTAACTGTTCCTAGACAATTCAAACATTTACCTGAACAATGTGCTGTTGTTTGGGGATTGTCTGATCTGACACCTTGAAGCAGAGAGGATCCTTCATGTTTTCCACCAGGAGCAAGTTACAGCACTTTAGAATTGGGAAAGAGGTTGAAAATCAATGGTTTGTGACACATTAGGACTTTCACAAGTGCACACCTGATCCATATACTGCAACAAGAGTTTTTGAACATCTGTACTTTGATACACAATTCTGATGACTCACAAAAATGTGTGTACTGTAGATGAAATGATCCAGCCTCTTTTTGGCAATAAGCAGCATTTTGTCGAAGAGGAAGAAGGCCCTCTCCTTTTTAACTCGCTGGACCCGGAAGGAACCTTCCAGAACAAGCTCTCCAAATCCACTGAGATCAGGACCAGTCCAGTTTAGCAACAAGCTCTCAATCTCCTGGCAGACGGTGAGAATTATGTTAAGACTCCACTCCTATATTTAGACAGAAATTCATACAAAAGTAGAAAACAAAGTAGATCTGAGTGTACCTGGAGTCTAACTGCATGTTCCTGTTTCCTCTTCATGTCATTAATGTACCAGGCCACTGCTGTCATGGTGATGATGGCATCCTCCACCACCTCGTATCCTGGATCACTTTTGTCAAAGTGCTTGGACAACTCCTGCCACAAGGGGGAGACATTGATTAGTCTCTGGAAACTCTGGCGGCATATTGCACTATTCTGGCTGTTTATGCTCTTGACTGAACTGTATTACTTTTTCATTGTGTTTGCTGCTTTATGACTCTATCACTGCTTATATGTGGGTAACTGTAAATAAATGAAATGAAAGGCAATGAAGTAGAAGGTAGAATTAATGTGAAACTTCACAGATGAATCCTCAAATCAATGATTTGAGTATTCTGCAAGATGCCTACATGATGTAGAGCTACTGTATTCTCCAGACAGACCTGCAGCAGGAGGTGGTATTTCAGGATCCTCTGCACAGGCTTCAGCAGGTAGGTCTCCAGGGGCAGCGAGTGGCAGAGGGTGGCCTGCCTCTCCTGGAAGAAACGCACCAGGCATTCATTCTTCATGCAGTCCCTGAGGACGGCCACGGAGCTGGTGTTGAAGGAGAGAGGTAGACAGACAGTCATCCAGAGGGTGGTCCACTGGGAGATTCATTAGTTAAGCAGCTCTGCCTAGCAGGCACTTCATCTAACAGTGAGCCCTGTAGTAATGCATTCAGCCGATGGCCCTGTAAAAGCCCTTAAGCCAAGCCTAAACTATTTACAAAAACACTCAGCGTCTCCAAACGCGCCCGCTAAGCTGTCTGCTAACTGCATCAGAGAAAAAGTGCTGGTCCTGGAGGAATGGCAGGGTTATACGGTTCAGGTTCACGCTCACATGCTAGCGCACTCAGAACCGTGCAGTTGAGCCAATGCTATTTGGTTGTGTGTCTTACACGTGTGAGTAAATATGACTGTGGCCGAGAAAGTTGGGTCAGGAATCAGCTTTAGCTGAACATCTGCTGCTGCAGCATTGGTGGCCCATGGGAATAAAGCAGACGGGTTTGAAACGTAAGCCTAAGCAGTCATCACCGAAGCATGCAATCTAGTCATATGCCTGATTTTTCCACTAGACCTGCAACTAAAACTGTCTAATGAGAACCATTGCTACATTAATCCCACGTGTCTTTCATTGCCATTGACCTGCTTGATTGTGAGGTGATGACAGTCAATCAATCACATGACTAAACAAACAGCTTTTCAATGCATTAGATAATGAACACTTAAACGAAAATGCATGCTGTTTGATCAGGAACCTTTGTGCTGTAAGCACACAAAGAAGGGTTGAAATGTGAGGCAACTCTCATTTAAAAGCCATAACACTGGCTTTTCAAAGTTATAACAATGGAGTCAGAGTGTAGTTTTCTATTGTGCACATCTCATTGTAGAACTCAGGTGGCTAAATTACAAAATGCAAATGATACTGACAACATCATAGATATAAAACAACAGTGGGGAAACCTCAGGGCCCTCTAGGCCTTTAGAAAAGGCTTAATAATTTCTGTAAAATAAAAAATGTCTGCAATTTTATTTTAATATAATCATCTTGCTTGTTGTACTTAAACTCTGCAAGTACTCTACTAATACCCTTCTTTTGATGTTTTCAGATTATCTTATTCTACTTTTACAAGTTTCAAATGTCTGTGTTGTAGAACAACTAAAAAATGTTTTTGTGAATCGTCATCATCAACAAAATCCCATATTTAAATCTCATAGGGGCGCGAGCAGAAATGACCATGATCACAGAGGTGTTTTTTCCTCATTTTTATCGTTTTGACATTTATGACTCAAACGGAAGCCTAATAGTCACGGTTTGCCACTGGAAAAAAAGAAAGGAAACAGAAAACACACAAGGAAGACTTCCACTTACTTGGGATAGTTCATGCAGTAAATAGTGTAAATGTCAAAGGCTTCACTCTAAACAGAGAAAGAGAAAAAAATGACGAAAAAAACTCATTATAAAAACTATACAAATATATTGAAACTAACAATAAGTCTTATTTTCATAAAACTAACAGACATAAATAATTTCACACAGGTTTGTCCTTTTTAAATTGGTACCATACCCATTTATGGGGCAGGGGAATCATTTGTAGCTCTTTTGGAACAACTTATCTCAAGAGTGCAGTGATCAGTGTAAGTGTAGGGACCTGCAGTCGCAGCTTTACGACCCATCCCGTATGCAAACCAGAAACTCCTCAGTTGCTGGTGTGGAGCCATAAATCATTGTGCCACTGCTGCCCAAATATGTTGATGTTAGCATGTTTCCACAAAGTATTCTCAATGTCTGCCACGGGAGCTGCGCCACAACAACATAATCATGTGATATCCTTCGTCTGCTCCTGTTCCACAAACTGGGCAGCGAAATGGCCAGCGGCAGATCTGGCCAGATATGGGCTGCTTGGCAGAAACTGTTCCACTCACTAGAGTGCATCTGTACAAGCATGTAAACACATCTGATTTGTGCTTTATTTGGAACCTGATGTCCATTCCAGAAAGCACTTCTTTGTTTTGGAAAAAAAGAAAAGACTGATGCTTTTTTTATGGGTCACTGAGAACCTAATCTTTTATCGCTGAGGATCCTGAGAAAATGCCAAAAAAGACAGGTCCTCAGAATGCCTTTGGCCTGTTTGATGAGGTTAGTCAAGCTAAAAAACCCAAAATAACCCACCGGTAATGGCTTAATCAAATGTACTCTCCGTTTCCTTTACCGATACTAATTGATCTGAACAGTGGCCTATTCAGCCAGAAGAAAAAGTCAGGCCTTTAGGCCTGGGAGTGGTGGATACCTTGTGGAAAAAAGCAAGAGGAAATGCAGATGTTTCATTTCATATTCTACACTCTTAAGAAACTGATGCTGCAAAATAACCACTTTTGGTTCTCTAAAGAACTTTTCCATTTTTGTAAATGAGATGTGCAGGTGTAAAGTTTAAAGAACCTCTGCATAATGTAGAGTATATCAGTGTATAATATGTATAATATCAAGTGTATAATATGTTTATACTATTATCAATAAACAAGATCACACTGTGTCATTGATGCAAAGCATCACTATTTTTCCCTGTGGTAATTTCCATGACCTAAATCTTTACTTCAAGTCAATGAGATGCTTCACATCTAAAATTAGAAGATTAAGCATTCACTTATTTCATACCTTACTCTAAAGTAAGGTATCAAATAAATGAATATCAAACAAATGCTACAGTGAGTTGGGATAACCCATACATTCATATGACCTACACCCGTCCCTCCAACTCCATTTCCTAAATCATAGCAGAGTAGAGCACTGGCATAACTCTTCTCCCACAAAAAACAAAGATGGTATTGTCTATGCTCCCATGTCGCATGGGTCTGGTCATTGTCATGTCACTGTGGCATGGAGTGTGTCAGTGAAAGTGTCTGAAAATCCCCTCAGCTGACACACGCGTACAAAGGTCACCACAGTTTGCTGATATGTTTGGGATTCATTCACAAAGCCCATCTGTCTTTGACCCAAACACCACCCAGACAACATGCTACGATTGTGCCTCTGCCACACTGCCAAGCATATGGCTCATTCCAGCAGCTGTGGGTTTCTAAAATAGTTTAACAGTCTGTATACCTGCAGACAGTTTGACCAGTCCAACAGTATTGTCAAGGGAGAGAAAAATACATTAGGGGCATAATAGGGACGGTTTATTGAGTAATCAAATTTAAACTATTTTTCCTCACCCCACATGTAGACAACCAGCCAGGACACGTTTTGTCTCCAAAATTTCCCCCTTTAGTTTTGCAATGGAGCTATGAGGTTACTGTAGCAAGCAACAGAAGCTTTTGACCACCGAATAGCACTGCGGAAATGAAATGCCTAAATCATCACACATTCACCTCAAACCGCATTAAGATGGCAATCTCAAATAAACTTGCTTATGTAGACGTCATAATATTTGGCATACTGTTAAAATGGACGGATTACGTTGCAGTAAAAACAGTAACAGCAGCCATCTTGACGTGCTACTGTACTTTTGTCCAAATTTATAATACAGTTTATAATTAACAGTAAGTCATACATTCTAATTAATCATATAAGCAAGTATATTTGAGATCACTTAGCGCAGTTTCATGTGTGATGAGTAAACCATACAGTTTACACAGTGCTCACTGGTTAACACGAGCTTCAACTGCAAAACAAAAGATGTAAACTCCAGACACCAACTATATCTTGGTTGAGTGACCACATTAGTGGTCAGCAAATTCTCAATAACAATATTTTGTTTTCAGAGACAAGCATTAAGCTTAGTCCTATGAGCATTTTTAAGCCTTTTAAGCCTTTTAATTTTACACCAGATGTGTTAACTGCACTGCTTGCCACACACAAAATGCTCCTATGTTAATCAGTGTAGGCTTTAACACTGGTAACACACGTGCAGCTCAATAATTCACTCTTTGCTGCTTGTGGTGTGCATTACTGTATGCTACAAGGCAAAGGGTGAGGTGTGTGAGGTGCAGTGTGCTAGCGGTTGCTAGGTACAAACAGTACAAAATTGAGCTTTCTTGCTATATTGCAAGAAATTTAGGCCCTTAATTTAAACAGGAAACAGAAATTTTAAGTTGTAGGAACAGCAATAGTGCACAATAAATGAGGAATCAGTGACGCTGTTTCTAACACTTTTAGCTATGCTCAAATGTCATTTGCATAAAGTTTATGCAACTGATATACGGAATAAAGACACGCATCCATTAGTGGAAAAAACAAATGAGGACAGAAAACCTTTTCACCTCTCAAAGGCAGTTCAGGTTTGCCTGAATTTTGTGCCAATAATGTAATTACAAGTCCATGACCTCACTCTTCTTTACTTACCCTCTCCACAAAGCACTCTGCTATAGCTGCTGCATGATGGCTGCGTTCCAGGTCTTCCAAAAGCTCACTGTTAAAGAGAAAAGGTTTGCAACAGATGTTAATGAGGTATGCACAGTGAGAAATCAATCTGCTATGTCTTCCTTTCATATTCTCACAAAAGATCAATCTACTGTGTCTGGCTCTCATATGCTTGCAAACATCCATCGTTCCATCCAATGGAACCGACGTACAAGAGAATGACAAATCTTTGAAATCTGCAATGCAGCGTCATACAGCTCAGAAGTCCAGTGTCCCTGAGTTGGGATTTGGGATGCGTCTGTGTTTAAGCACTGTTATTTTCTTTCTATGGAGACATCTGGGACTGGTGTTTCAAGAGGATGCTCCTGGCCTTAGCTGACTCCCAACTCCTGTCTGCATTTCCACATAGTATTCATTTGTTTCTTCTCCATCGATTCAACTCAAACTATTGCTTAAATGCACACAGATGGAATACATCTTATTTTGGCTTAGCAAGACCACCCCAATCCCACTTTCCCCAGATCCCCACAACAGACCTTGAAGCCCCCTTTTTCTGGCTTTATCATTACAAGCCAAGCTCCTGGACCCGAAAGCCAAATAATCATGTGTCATCGGTGTCATGAACGTGCCTTTACTGGACTTGAAAGACTGCACACTGTAAGCTCACTTTTTTCCTCCCCTCAACAAAGATGTCACAGCTTCATCACAACACACAGGAGAATGCTCCCTCTCTGAGAACCTGGAGCACATGATTTACATCTTCTAAATGGCAGTGAGCAGGGGGAAAGCAGAGGAGCTCTCCTTTCAGCCTCTGAATGAATGAAAAACAGCAGGCTTGGATTATCTTGGCCGACATCAGCGGCGGGACAGGAGATCAGGAGAGGGAGTTGAGGCTAGCTTGTGTAAAACAATCACTATTGTGAGTCATATGTGAAATAGAAGAAACCGGGCTTTCTCAGAGCGCTGTGGAGCAGATTTGATCTCCTGGGGGGTTGGTGCGACTTTACAAGCAAAAATGACTTGAATGTGCTTTAATCAAATTGGTACCACATGAATAAAATGTATTACATTAACCATGTTTTTCTCAAAAGGAAGAAATCTGAAAGACACAACTGCGTTGATGTAATACATTTTATTATTGTGGGTACGATGATGTGCACATACAAATCAAGTAAATTCAACACACTGTGTTCTTCACTGCATGTTCCTTCGCAATATTCGGCTCACTCATCCCTTGATGATCAGTGAGGTCATGATGATTTAGCTGACCACAGTGGACTTCACTCAGTTCGTTAGCATACTTTGAACCATCATCACCAAGAGGCCCTCAAGCCACTAGACTGGTCAGTCACAGGGGAACTCTTCCTGATGTTTCGACGGAAAACAGCGTGGTGCTCTGTAAACACTCTGGTCGCGCCTTCATGTGGCCAAGGGGAAAAGTTCGGAAAAAACCGCAGCACTCCAGCCTTCAGAATCCCACCCCCCCCTCCTCTGGAGACGGAGCTCGTTTCGTGGCTACCCTTTGTGGTGAGGGGGGGCTTCAGTCCGGTTTTACCAAAAGTGGAGGGGAATTCATGCACAGTCTGTGCTTCAAAACACACTAAAGAGCTGGCCTTCGCTAGGTGCCATTCGAGGTTTGTGATCTCCATGGCTCAGTTAGAATTAAGAAGTATAAAGGAATGTTACTGTAAACACAGTTTGGCAGTGTGGAATTACGCCAGAACAAAGATGTTACCGTATGCTACAAGGCAGAGGGTGAGGTACAGTATTGTGATCACAGCCCATGCATCTACTTGCATGTCTTCACTTTGGTAGCCAAGTTGGATTCAATTAGGACTTGGCACATCTTATGAGGTTTTGGCACTAAAAGTCAAAGCCCCAGGAAAGTGTTGGGCCGTCCGAGCCAGAGGCTTGAGTTATGCTTGCTATATCCGTGCTATTACTTTCCCAGGCTCTCAATCACAAAACACTTACACAGACTCTTAGCACAGCTAGGCGATACATATTTGAGGTCAAATGAAAAATTAATAGAGAAACCACTAGGGCCAGTGTCAATCAGTTCTTTAATTGTGTCAGAATTGTTTAATAACAGCTACAGTGCAATGAATCATGGTCGCAGAAGCCACACATGTTCCAAAAAGTGCTATATTGGAATGCTTATGAGGTGGAACTGGGAAGTGACCTGCTGAATTTAACACCGGCAACAGTGAAAGGAAGTGTCCTGACGATGACTCCTCCCTAGTGCCGCTAACTGCAGAAGTTATGATCGGGATCAGGAAAGGGAGTCACCTGCAAGTTGCCTTAAAAGCAGAACCTCCCTTACTGGCCTTCATTCCTTCCATCTCCACCTCAACCTCTCCCTATATTGTTTCAAAGACTCGCTTGCTCCCTTATTCTATTCCCCCTCCGTGTCCTACTGTTGTCTTGCTATTTTCACACACTCCCACTATTTGTCTAGTAAAGTGGCTCATGTGGTATGTCCAGGACAATAAAAAGACTACATTATTTAAGCCTCTTTCACTGTGCTCTTATATTATGTGAAGCTGTCAAACCTTCAGTTGCACTCCAGGCAGGATTCCGCTCAGGGGGATACTCACACATCCACTCCATTCCTTTGTTTGGAACAAGAATTCCTCTTACATGACTGCAAAATCTACACATCTTAATTCCTCCAAAATCAGATAAAAGCAGAACGTTGTATGAATATTTGGGAAAGTCCCTCTACGTCTGTCTTTAGAAAAGGGTGCTTATCATCTTATCATTAAAGGTGAAACAACGCATTTATTTTCATATTCAATATGTTTTTCGTTTCTAAGGTCAAGATCCGATTAGATTTGCTACTTTATGTGTTTAAAATGTCTTAATGCCACAGAACTCTAATGATACACTATATGGTTATATGCTAATTGGCTGAGATAAATGAAAGTCCTCCAACAGATCGTTTTCAAAGCCTGCCATTCAGCCTTTTTAAAAATTTGCCCTACAAATTGCAACTCCTTTTTAGGTAACATCAGAAAAAGGGGCGGTTATTTGAGTGTGGGAGCATGTGTAGTATAAGCCCTTCCTCTCTTTCCACCCACTCTACTCTGATATGATACACTGACACGACAAGTTTTGATTACAGATGGTGATTTCCATGAAAGACAGCAAATGAGAGACCCCTGAGTGATACAGTGTTAAATTTCAATATGTTTTTTGATTAATTGATATTGATATTGCTACTTATCATGGGTATCATGCTTTGCATTTGGAGAAGCAGGCAGCCAGCTCCACCCAAAGGGGTCATGGCAGGGGTTACGTCACAGCATGGCTCAGCGACAGGTCATAAGCCCACCAAGACACAGAGGAGTCATGGAGAGGATAGAAATGAGGCAGGGGGCTAGTTCTCACTTAGCAGAGGAATCTGTCTGGGTGGTTCCACTAACTACCCTTGGTGACCTCTAGGGTGAAGAATATCCTTTTGAAGGTGGTCTCCCACGTTCCATATGCTTGTGTCAGATCTCCTGGCCTGGTGGGCCATAGATCTCCATCTGTAGTCACATAAAGCCTTTTGTGTCTAACTAGCCTACTGATCATGGATGATTCATTCTCTGCAGACACTGTAGTGACTAGCTTTATGAACAACCCAATCAGTGTTTATGTATGTCTGGAATTGAGATTGGCACTCTTGGCTGAATTATTGTATAGTTACAAGCGGGTAATAAACATTCCAGGCTGTTTAAGACCTATCTAAGTGTGATATAAACACTGAAAATTACATATGCAATAAAGTGTATGCAATAATACTTATTAAAAACTGCTACAATACAGTAAACATGGCCTGTCCATGTAGTCAGTGCATTAGATCCTAAAAGCAAGAGGCTACTGAAGATCCTGCCTGCAGACAAACAGCTCCACAGTGCATGAGAGTAAAACATGTGAAACCCCAGCTGGGGTTCAAAGCTTACTGTGAATTGTGAGGCTTGTGAAGAATTAGGGCAGCACAGACAATCTGGCCTGATAAATATGCTCCGCAGTCATTGCAGAGATGTTGCAAAATAACAGAAATGAGTCAAGAGAGGAATCACTTTTCAACACCCTGCAGCACGATGGGGAATCTGAAGCCAGTAAATACAATCTGCTCCACCACAGTTGCTGCACAATAAAAACTAAAAGGGTACTGCAGCATTCCAGCGCTGGAGTACGATACAAAGCACTGCGCTATAACTGGACTGATGAGTGTGGGAACAGAAGACGGCCTGTCTGCTGGCCCAGCATGCACTGCTCTCCTGACTGCGCCCTTACTCTCTCTGACAGGTCATGTGTGGCTTGTTCACCATGGGGGTTGGAGCTCTACCTCAGAGCCTGGCTGCTTTAAGCTCCGGGTAAAGTGACTTCCATATGCAGGCTAACATGCCGGCCTGTGCCAAGAAAATAGACACAACACTGTTGAGCATGAAAACAGGGACTGCATTCCATACATATGAGAGGATAGGCTTTTAAGGGCAAAGAAGAGCGAGAGGAAAAGCGGCTAAAGTGTGAGAAAACTGAGGTCAGCCCCCTTCTAAATGATGTGCTTTACAATTAGGGAAAAGAATGAGGATCGAGAATGAGGCACTGACGGAGGGGGCAGATTTCAACACCGGAACTGCCTGATTAACTCCCATTCTCTTCATTACAAGTAAATCGAATTTCAGGGAAAGCCTCCAAGTGCCTGAAGAGAGAACAAAAACTTGGCTCTGAAACCTCAGCATTCTACAGACATTACAAGTCAAGATGCCTCGAGGACACCCAAGGACTTTTGTATGAATTTCTGTTTCAACATAACAAAGTAGATTTCCCATGAGGGCTGGCGCAAGGCGCCATGTATGATTTCTAGAACTTAGCTAGATCGCCAGAGGGCCTGTAATGAGAGGGGCTGATCTGGCGTAGATGCAGAGAGAAAAAGTGTGAAAACATGGCCCTTGGCAGGAGAACTCTGAGGAGAAAAATGGGGGAAAAATGGCAGGTATGGGGCGGGTTCTTCCTAAGAACTCAGTAACACCCCCACAGTCACACCCCCGCTAACCGCTAACTAATCCATCAAACTACAGCCCTATTCACGCCATTCACTCATGACTGGTGTCAGAAAACAGCTGACAAACAGCCCTGCAGCCAAAGGCTCCAATACCCAGCAGTGATGATGACTAGAAGCAGTGCTGAAAACAATGTGGAAAATAGGCTAGCCAAATGAAGATAACACATAAACACTCAGTACTGTTCAGCCATCAACCATCATAAAGGAGACAGAGAGGCATATACACAAAGGCTTTATATAAAAAAGGCTCATTAAAATCACTCCAGTGCTCCCTGTGTGAACTCAGGGTGTGATAAACCATATGCTCCCTCTCTGTTTGTGAAGAAAAAAAAATAGTTATGACTGGAGCTTGTAAAACCAGTGCAGGATAGTAGTGAAGACAGTCTGCTGGAGAGGATCAAAAACAAACTCTCCCTCTTGGCTGCAGTCTGGATATTGTCCTCTTTGCAGGGATTGTCTAGGGTCTGGGCCAGTCATTGTTTCTGATGCACATTACACAGATAGTACTGCCACCCAGACAGCAGTCTCTCCACAAACTAACTCTGACTCAGACATGGCTTCTATACAAAGAGGCAATGAGAGTTCCTGGCATAGGCAGTACAAGCAATTGCCCAGTGGCAGCAAATGGTGGGTGTGTAGGGGGGCATGTAAAAAAGAGCTGACAGTCACTACTCTTTCACCAGTGCACCTGTTTTGTTGTGCTGTTCTTCCTCTATTTACTGTCTCCCACCAACCAAGAGAACATGATAGGACTGGGAGAGGTGTGTGTCCCTCTCTGACTCTACTGGCCAGTGAAATGACATCTAATAAAACAACAAGCAACAGAATATACCCTCGGCTATGCTTAAACACACAAGCATATGGCATATGGAATAGCACCACAACTGGTGGTGGGGCAGCAGTTTTAAAAACAGTATATTTTAGTTTTGATATATTAAAAATGTAGCAAGCTGATTAGTTACTTGTTATTCTACAAAAAATAGCACAGCATATCAGCAAAAAATACTGCTAGCTACACTACTAACTACATAACAAAATTACTTTGTTACATTGAAGCTAGTAAATGAACGATGCTATCTGTGAGGCTAATTAAAATTTCAATAAAATGCAATTCAAATAGTAGAAAAATGCATATAATCATATATTTATTTTTTAGGCTTTTGAGAGGGAGAGACCTTTTTGTGTACTCCTCTCTGAAATTTCTGGTAACACTTGAGTTGAATAGCACCCTGTAAATGTTTCACAGATGCCTATGCATACACTAACTTACGTTCAACTAAATATCTATTTATTTCACCCTAAATGTAAAACCCTAAACCTGGCCCTAACCCTAACCTTGACTTCAACCCAAAACCTAAACTTAACCCTTAACTTAGTCCTAAGCCTATCCTCGGTACTAACCCTGAATTTGCTGAGAATCAAGTTTCACTAGATAGCTCATTAACAATTTTAACATCTGTAGATCATCTACTGGGGGGCTAGCCAAATAAAAAGGGACCCAAGAAACATTAAGAATTCTATGGGGTAAATCCTCTACCTTGGCTAATTCCCAAAGAACTACAAAGTTGACGTGTCAGACCTGAAAGCTTGTCAGACGTAGCAACAGTAACCGGTGGGGTAGGGCTTAGCAGAGGGAAATTTACAACTAATATCCCAAACACACAAAATACAATTTGAATAAATTCTAGTTTAACAACTCGATCGATAAAACAGCTTCACTACTGAAAAGTTACTTAAACTTGAAGTAGCATGGTGCTAGCAATGCTAGCACCATGCTACTGCACTGAAAAAAAGGTCACTGACTTCACCTAATTTACATTTATACATTGGTTCCACACGAATAAAATAAATTACATTAACACATTTCTTTCTCTTAGGTTACTCACTTTTTGCAAGAATTGAGTCAATGTGATATATTTTATTCATATGGAACCGATGAGCACAATTAAATCAAGTAAAGTCTGTGAATTATTTTTTCAGTGTGGGAAATGTAATCAAACTAGCAGCAAAAGTGATGCAGTGACTCAGCAAAAGTGATGCAGTGATCGTGAACTGGACCACCACTGATAATGAAAAGGTCAAAGCCAGTGGGCACTTAATTTAGTAAAAAAATGGAAAAAGAGGGGAACTGAGTTAAAGATAAATACATCCTGCCATCACAAAAATGTAATGATCTGGACATGGGGTTAGTTTTGTAGCTAGAATGATTTAACCTACTGCCTTTACTCTGAGAGTTCTCATGTGGGTGTGTGAGTTATTAGTGATTACACCATGACTTTGACTTTCTGTGGCCTTTCTCAGAGGGCGTCCTAGTGTGAGCTCGCCTAGGGCACCGAATGAGCTGGGCCCTCAACCAAATAGAAAGAAGAAGAAAGAAAAGCAGCAGAACACTTACCTGTTGAACTCATATATGTCCTCTATGTTGCAGAAGAGGGTGCTAACCTCTTCCGGTTTGAGTGGCAGGTCTCCACAGTCAATGATGCACCCCAGATAGTCCTGAGAGAGACAAAGGAGAGAGGAAGCGTGCACTGAAAATTAGAGGCGTACATTAGCTCAGCTGTAAAATAAGTTTTCAGTGCTTTGTTAGTAATTGTTCAAAAACTCATGAGCTCTATGACATCTCACTCACCTACAGTTACTTTAGTTTGGCATTATATTTCCATTACACACATAAATCAGTTGCACATGCACAGTCTACTGCCTAAAAAGACTAAAAGATGGCTGTGGCTAATCCCTCCACAGCAGATTGTTCCTCTCACCTCTAAGCGATCTGACAATGCTAAGCATTGTTGTAATTTAATTTCCACGGAGGCTTTCTACATGAGAGAAAAGGTCAGACTTGAGTCGCTAAGATCTTCCATGTAAACAAACCAAGCAGCCCAAGAAAGCAAAACATGCAATTAATACAGTGGTAAAAGGCCCTCCCTCTTACAATATTTATCTTCTCTCTCTGCACTCTTGTACCTCTGACCTGGGAAACAAAGCCACGAGCTGGTCTCATGAGAAAATGGATCTTGTCTCTTAAAGCTGCTGTGACACACACAGCTTTCTCTGTTGGCCTGCTGAGGAGTGGCTGCTGCACACATACCCACACAGGGGCTCACCCAGGCTGTCAGAGCTCAGTTTAGATTGGCTGTGCGGTGGTCTACCCGTCAAAAATTTGCAGACATCTTGCAGATGTTTTCCAGATAATGTTTGACTTGCACTGTCAGTTTTCAATTGACCTATACATGCTCTGCCCACAAATATGCTCTTTTGTGACAAGTGTTGTAGGGCTGGGACCACTCGATATTTCAATAATTATGGACAACAATAATTATGGACAACATCTATCTAATATCCATTAACAGGTATAATTTATGCTGTTTTTGTTTTCTGGATCTAAGATCTGAATGCATTTGTGGGTGGAGCATTGGTCAATTTGATAATAAAAAATTACCTACAAAAGTTTTGTTAACAAAAAACATTTCATAATAAAGTTTTTGCTAATATACATTGGGTATATTGTGCCACACTCAGCTTCATGTTCATCAGAGTGTCTTCTTTGGTATGAAGAGTTGGTTTTGCCTAAATAATGATTTGAAACTTTCCAAATGATTGGTAAAAGCACATACTATTTTATATCATATTTTGCAACAAAAAAAGGAGTTGATTTCTGTTTAAAGGGCCCAAACAAAGGAAAAGAGTTCTTAAAAGAGTTTGATGCTATTTGTAAGTACTGTCAAAGTTTCGAAATGTACTACTCATTCTCCAGAGTGTACAGTCCATACATGGAAATTAAGCTGAAAAAAGTCTATTTTGAATTCATCGTTTTTGTGATGTCATAAAAGCCAATGCATTTACATGTATCTGCCTATTCAGCCTACAGCAGTTTAGCCCCCCTAATATTAGGAGTAAAAGAGTGTTTTAGGCTAGACTGCTTTTTGAACAAGGCGCAATACCAAACAGCCAATCAGAACAGTGGTCATTTACAGTTTGAAAAATCTTCATATAAAAACATATTCTGGCTGTTTTTGGCTGATCTTAAAACTACAAAAATTCATGACATCATAAGTGGACCTCAGGTGAAAAATATAAAAACTGTAGAACATGGGGCCTTTATGTTATTGCAAACCAACAAGGAGAACTTTGTTTAAAACATTTTGTGCCCCCAAATTTTGGCAGTCAGAGCGAATAACACACGGGTATGCAACTGCACCATGTCTTCTCTGGTCGAAACAGCCAAATCAGTAACTCTTGCAATGCACTGTTGTGAGCTAACACTTGAATTTGAACGATTCAGAGGGGGTGAATATCACTCCTCGAAGTGTTGCTATAAACCTTTAAACTTAATAGTGCTGCCGTGATCCAGTTACTTTATCGACTTAATGTGGAAAACAGACTTTGCGATCTAAGCACTTATTGCCATCTATAAATACTAATCGGTCTACAATACAGCTATTTCTGTGCAGCGGAGGCCAGCAGCCAACACCAGTCTCAGTAGAATGGTACATTTTTGGCCACAGTCTGTCTGGTCCCAGTCTAAACTTCAGCTGGCACTGCTAATCAGGAGTATCCGCTTATCAGTGTCTGTTTGGCCTCATTAACCTTTAATTGGGCAGCTTTTTAGCATAAACAAACATCATCTGATAATTCCACACCCATAAGATGGGTCTTCTGAACTGTGATAGACTGGAAAAATTGGAAGTGCCATGGCTGGCATTAACTACTGATGCAATCTGTCCTGAGAAAATAGAGGCCCATAGCTAACAGAAGGGGCCACCAAGCGAAAAACAAACGGACTAAAAAAAGGCTCCAGACTCGACTGCTACAATAAATAGCTATAAACAAACAAACATTTCGAGGCATGCGAGACGATATGGCGGTCTGTGCCCCCCCCTCCCTCACTCCTCATGGCGCTCAGCTGCATTCCTGCAGATCGTAATGGGGCGCTTTTTCTCGCCCCGTGTTTGTTTCCAGAGCCACCAGGGTGTCGGGGAAGGCAAACAGGCCTGAGGTGGGGCAAAATGAGGTGGAAAATAAGGGGCCCAATGCATTCATCACCTTTTAAAGGCAAAGAAGGAACAGGGCCACTGTAATTACACTGATTTACAGTCCGCCATAAGCAAGAAAGAATTCCCCTGACGCTGGTGCTGCCTGGGAGCTGAAGGAAAGAGGGCGATGAGAGGATGAGTGAGGGATGTCAAAGTGAGGCAGAGAAAATTGAAAAACAGGAGACAGAAAGAAATACGAGAATCAGAGCAGGGCATATTTCACAAAGCAAGATTTGTGACTAAATGATACAGCTGAAGCTCAAAGAGGGGATAGTCCCTTAGTTCTTTTATGGGCAGAGCATGGATAGGTCCATTTGGGGTTATCTTTTTAACCACTTAAAGGGCCATGGCCCAACAGTGGGCTCAACGTTTAACTACATACTTCTATAACCCTAGAACATCTCAGGTAGTTTGCATTGTAGTCTGTGTAGTTACTGAATAATAAGCCTTAGTTTGTCATAGGCCTGGGATTTTAGAGAAAATTCTGTCTGAAACTCATGCCTGCAAAAGTTCCAAGAAAGCTGGAACAGTTGACCATGTTGACCACCTTTCATTTTAACAACACTTAATAAATGTTTGGGGACTGAAGACACGAACTGATCCAACCATACGGGGCCTCCATTGTTGCACTTTGCACTTCTTAATGTGGCACACAGTTTCAAAGGGATACAGATCTGGACTGTAGCCATGCTGTTGTAACATGTGCAGAATGTGGCTTGCCACTGTCATGTTGAAATAAGCATAAACATCCCTGAAAAAGATGTTGTCTAGCATTTTTCTCCTAAATGTGTATATATCTTTCAGTGTTAACAGTGCCTTTACAGATGTGCATGTTATATACCCACTAATATACCCCCCATTCCACGACATACTGTCTTTTGAACTTCATGCTCGTGGAAGGGTGTTTTTTTTATGTTTAGGGGAACATGATGTCCATTCATTCCAGAAACAGTCTGTTAAACATTAAATAACTTGTTTTTGTATTCTACAGGTCAAACTGGCTTTTGATTTGCCTTTCACATACAGTCTCAAATTTTTTAAGTTGAGGTTTGTACATGGGAAACAAAACAAAATGATTGCGTTATTATTAAGTTATAAGAATGAGTAATAGTCTGAACCTGTCAGCCGGTCGGTGAATGTTATGGTATGTTAATGGAAGTGGACAAACAACTTGGAGAGAGTCAACCACAAGAGAGGCAGAACCAAATCAAGCATCTTTATAAGGAAGAAAGAAAGAAAGAAAGAAAGAAAGAAAGAAAGAAAGAAAGAGAAAGAAAGAAAGGTGTGAGGAATAGAAAGAAAAAGAAACTGCAGAGGGGAATTTTGGAGAGGAAGGCGGACAAAGGAAGGAGAAAGGAATAAGAGAAAGGGAGGGAGGAGAAAAAAGGAGAGAGAGAGTCACTGAGAGTTGCACACTTTCTCTGAGCCTTTGTCTGAGAAACTAGGTCAGAGTTTGGAGGAGAAGGAGCGTGTCCCTCTCTCTCGTGAGCGGGCCCCTCTGCTTGTGCCCCAAAATGGGGGTTACAGCCAAAGCCCCCCCACAACACCCCCCCCCCAATTTCCTGTCCTATTTGGCTGAGATACAGCGTAAAGGAAAAGGGGATTCACTCCGTCTGTTCCCCAAAATGTTCCCCAATGCTCTTTGTCATACAAACATATGCACATGCAGACAAATTATAAAGCACTCCTGAAAATATAGAGCACAATACGCACACATGCTCACAAAGAAAAGTTCTTTTAAGCACTTTCAAGCAGTTTTGACATCATAGTTCGCCGGGCTTTCTATCAAAACCAGACGGCTATTACTAACAGCCGCTCAGCTAGGGCTCCAGACCAATCATATGTGCAAATCCCCGAGTCAGCAGTGTGTCACACAAACCCCCACCCAACAAATATGTCCTGTTTTGAAGCTGCAGACTGATAAAACAGCAGTATTCCTCTGCTCAAGCCTTCTCTTTCAGCAACCAATTTATGGCCATCATATCTAAAGGCATCTCTTCACTGGGCAGGCCTCAATAGCATGCCTTCTCTTTTTATTAAATCTTAAAGCGGTCAACTTCAAAAGGCCCATGAGCGATAAGGAAAAGCAATACATTTCAGGCATTTCAGTCTATGTATTCAAAGGACACTGATTCCCTTCACGCCAATCACAGATGCACGCACACAGACACATATCGCTCTCAACACAGTGCACCTGACTGACACCTGTTAATGGTCAGCACAGGCAACATGACAGCAACTTCAAAAAGCATGACTAAAAATCTCAGTCTTCAGCAAGGGCTCCGGTCAAACTGACCCCGTCATTCAATGCGGGACTCACCCATGCTCCTGGCACAGATGCAGTGTTGCCATAAAAAATATCTAAAATCCAGCTTGTATGATAAGCCATAAAAACGGTTTGGCTTTTGGCTGTCTGTCAAAAATGTCTAACCAGCTAGTTTACTCTTAATTTCTGAATGCTGTCAAACTTTGCTCCAAGTTACGAACATCTACCAGCTTAAGTCTGATGAGCACAGGTACACCAACTTTATGCAATAAATATGCTAGATATGGACAATGCTTTTGCATTGCATGTTTTGCATGCACAGTAAAAATGCCTACAGCATGTGGTGCAAACTCGTTTTCTGCTGCCACCATGGGTGTGACAGATGTGCTACCAACATCTGTGACAATGCAACTGCTAAGGCTAGGACACGTTTAACACTTTTTTTGAGTTTCAGTAAAAATATGAGGTGTTAGTGGAAAAAAGAGTCCAAAAAGGGAGTCTGTTAGTCACACTGGTAAAACTGCACTTATAAAACTCCTTCTAATTCTAAAATATGACTGGCTGAGCTACACTAAAAGCTGTTGTTAAATACTCAAAATACACAAATATGACCACACACATTAATTTAATTCAATATTAATTAGGCCAGTGCCAGTAACAGAATCAGCTTATTTGGCTCTTTGAATATTCTTTCAACGCACTCGCAAACTTTTTCCAAATCCAAATCCTCAAATCTTACATAGTGTAGCTTTAAGTATCATAGTTAAAGTTACACCAAAATCAGTTTTGTACAATCATTACACATAGCATTAAATATCACAGTCAAGTGGCTTATAGATTTAAGTGTTGCATCCCAGTTTAACACTGTAAAGTAGGTGACTTTAAGTGAAATTCTTAAAACTATTGAGCTACTCACCTTCTACCTGTCTTGACAGAAGCTTAATGACCTTCTCCAGAGGTCAGCTTTTCAGACGGCCCTTTAGCCGCCAGACTCCACATGGAATATGACAAACGTGTTGAGAGTCTCTACAAAGAGTCTCTTATACTATTCAGCACCATCTGATTCATGTGTTTGTGTGTGTGTGTGTATGTGAGATAAGAACAACAGCCTTCTCATTGTCCCGGGTCGGCTGACCCCAGCGAGAAACAGTGCAAACATGCTTTTGAAGTGACAGATTAAATTTACTGTTGCTTTCATCCGCTGCCACGGCCTCCTCCGCTCCACCTGAGAGTGTGATGAATGGCACCACCACATCTCACAATGATCAGGAGAAAACTGGCAGGGCCAAATATCCAGCCATTCCCTGCAATCAGCTACATGGCTCATATATTACATCTGAAGTAAATATGATACCATTAACGCAGAAATAAAGGCCTTTGTGTCAGTTCAGATTCCTAGAGCTCAGTAGGAATGCCTCAGGCACGCATGGTTTGGGAAGAGACAGGGTGTATATAAAAGTCTACTGAAGTTGCCGGTTCTCGTCCAAGAAGTTCGGTGCGAGTCAAATACATTACACTTCAAAGCATTCAACATGAGAGGTGCACCCTGTCTGTCCAAAGTTTGAGGGCACCTAATTTATCAAAATGTTTTTAAAGCTATGATTCAGACACAACTTTCTTTTTACCCTGAATGTAGTCGAGCAGCTAAGACATATTTGGTGTCTGAAGTTTGCTTCTTTAATTTTACATTGCAGCTATAAGTTTAGTGGAACTGACAAGTAACACTGCCAGGTTAGCACAGTGTGAACTGCATGGCTAAAACATCACACTTGCCTTGAACTATGTGAAGTTATTAAAGAGGCACTCCAGCCAAAATGAAAAACTTTATCACTGCTACGTCTGTTGTAAACCTGCTTACTCGCCTCCTACAGCAGTGCCACAAGAGTCACTAGAGTAAGAAAAACATCCTTCCGATGATGTATCTTCAAGGTAGGTGGAACTTTTGAAACTTTAACTTTTGAACTTGAGGGTGGGCTGTTTGAAATTTATTATTTTTTCCCCTCTAGTTTTACAAATGCAGAAAAAGGCCAGACAGCTCATGTTACTGCTAGGAACCCCAACATCACATATGTATTTGCTAGCCTCTACATCTGTGGCTACGCTAGCAGTCAGGATGTCTATATCACTTGCGGGGTGTTCACAATGTATGACATATTTGCATAGTGTGTTCTGGGTATTGTTGTGAGAGAACATTGACAAAAATACAGAAAAAGATACAAAATCCTGTATTCTGTCAAACTAATGAGGCTGAGGGATGCAACTGTGCTACAGAATACAGCTTAAAATGAAATTTTGGGCCAGAGCTGGAGCACCCCTTTATGTACTCCCAAATAAACTTGCTTATGTAGTTTCTGCTATTGTGTGACATACAATATGACATTATCTATTAAAAAGGGACAAAAGTATGGATAAAATTCTTAGCTATGTAGTATTCTTTTCTAAAGTTAAATGTCATAAAAGAGAAATGTTAAAACATTTTGATTTGATAAAGATTCTTTATGAAATGATTCAGGAGGTAATGATTCAAATTTCACCAAGATTCAACTCAATTTTGTTTGATTATTTTGGCATGATTCAGCACTGCTTTTAAAAATACTCTAAAATCACAAACGTGACTGGAAGAATATACACAGCAGTGGAAAACAAGCCAAAAATGGCATCCAGCTTGTTGGGGTCTTGCTTGTTTAAAACAATTGATTCCAACATTGAAAAACTGATGCATCTGCACATGCAGATGCAACCTCAGGTGTAAAAGACGCATTACAATTTTTACACCTTTAAGATAAAGGTGTGAAGAGCTGTAGCAGCATTACCTCCACTATGCTCTTCAGGTCCCTCACGTAGGCCTGCTCTGTCTCAACAATCTCCAGCGCCACCCTCTGCAGGCGAGACAGCTTGGGCAGCGGTGTGGAGGGCATGGCTCCGGGCAGCAGGGACAGTGGGGTGAGGTCCAGACTGATGTCGGAGCCCTGACGCTTGGGGCAGGAGTAGGTTGGCACGGCTCCATAGGGCAGTGAGGAAGAGGAGGAGGAGGAGTGAGCGTCTTGTAGCGAGGCGGAGGAGGCTGAGGAGCTGAGGCTGGCCGCCCGGTCGCTGTCTGAGCACACGGTGTTGACGGAAGTGCAGCTCCCGCGGGACGCACCCCCTGATGAGGCCATCCGACTCACGATCCCGCTCAGAGAGGAGACAGAGGAGGGCCGCTTAGCAGCTGGAGAGAGAGACAGAGAGAGAGCAGAAAAAGTGAGAGACAGGAAGAGAGAAAGAAAGAGAGAGACAGTGACAGAAACAAAGAGAAAGTGAGACAAAGAGAGAGAGAGAGAGAGAGAGAGAGAGAGAGAGAGAGATTGACAGTTTTGAGAGTGAGAGAAAGTGAGAGACAGAAAGTTAGTTTCAATATGTAAATTACAAACTATCATTCTTCCTCGCCTTCATACTTTTTCATAAGCATACACTACTGTTAACCTTTGGAATTATTTGTCATATTAATATTTTTTTGTTATTTTACACACACTAACGTACATGGCAGACTTAAATATTATTAAGTAGTCACCAAAATGTAAATTTGGATGGTTTATTCAATTTAGATACTTTTGAAACAACATAAAAAATAGAACGATGATATAATGCAAATAATAAACTGTAATTCTGTACAATAATATCTGTCTTGAGATTTGATCTCTACTTTTCGAATATGATGTATCCTGGATATTCACTTCATTATTCATCATCTTTACCATTCATTCATTTAACTTCATTCTTGATGCTAAAACTATAGCATTCTCCATTATTATGAAATGTAAAGCTTCTGGATGAATCTAAAATTCTTCGTACTAATTATCTGATGTTGCACATGACTAGCATATTAGAATGGAATACTATATGTATCTGCAGACAACCTGTTTTGTACTATTTTGAATGGTGATTCTTTTAAACAGTAGTGTAGGCCCATGTGCAGAAGTAGATGTGCTTTTTACGTGCAAACCCTTGCTCTGAACATATAAAACTACTTGCTATCATTACTTTCTCTGTTGTCTTCATAGACTTTCTCAGAAGTATATGTTCAGCAGTAGTAAACATGCTCACTGTGCGGCTTTGCTAGTGTTTCCTCTGACAGCCGCTCAGGAAACCATGTAGCCTGGAAAGGTGTGATTGAGCAAAAATACACTGCACTAATTCAGAGTGAAAACCCACAGAGTCAGCCTGTCAATCAAGCAGCACTGCATAGAAACGCAAAAAAGGACACAGAGAAAACACAGGAAACAGGAATTGCAACTTCCTGCCCTCAATTTCTTGGATGACCAAACATGCAAACACACGAATCATTCGGACAGAACAGTGCTTGTTACACCCAGTGCATGTAAGACAGCACCACAGTGCTGGAACTGAAAAGTACTGTACATGGGCGTGAACTAAACAGTCTAGCCATCACGGCTAGCAGAAACAGGTCATTGTAGAGAGTAAGACTGGCCATTGTTTGGAGGCTGAATGTGGAGCTGTGGCACCTACAATGGTGGCCCATTTACTGAGCAGAGGCCAACAGAGAGCAACAATCCTCCACTTCCTGTGACCTAGCAGGCAATGCAGTCAACTGTTGCACGCTCTCTCTCGCTCACCGGCCGGCCAAGTCTGCCTATCATCTATCAAACGCTCCATCTAACCATTAGCTGGAACTGCTCTCAAAAAACGCCTTCCCCTTGCTCCAAAGCTTTGAAAGCACTTTGGCAATATCGATTGTCTAAATTTGATTTAAGCGCCTCATAAACTGCTTGAAAGCAAGTGTTTATCTTTGGCTGGCTGTTTCCCAAGATCAACAGCGATATGGCGGCAGTCTCACGTGAAAAAATGTGAAAAGGGAACAAAAAAAATAGCAGGAGAAGCGAGTAATGCCCTCCACAGCTAAGCATAGATCATTGGTAGCTAGACTGGTATGATTAGCGTCGGCTCAGTTCAAGCTCAGATCACTAAGCTGCCAGTTCTCTGACAAGTTTTTTGGTTGTACTGGGTGAAAAAATGCACTCGGGGCCAAGCTGTTTCAAACTCTGAAATAAATCCTAATGCAAGTGTGGCAATGTAAACCTGATGCATCCTCTGGAACCAAGACAAACAAATACTGCTGTAAATCACTATTCAGTGCAGTCAGAGGATTTCACGTGGCACTAATACCATCTATATATCATGAATAAGACGTGATTATAGCTACATTTAGAAGCCATAATGATTTTCTTCATAATGACATATGATGAAAACCTATATAAGATGTTGGAGCTGGGCAGCGTCCAAATACTCCCTCTCTATAAATATTCTTGTCTAAATGATCCCTTTAGAACAGGGTAACACAGAAATCTATGTGATCCTCAATGTACATAATTTGAACCAACCATGTGTTTGTTATGTTCTCTTTAAATTACAACTTCATAGCACAGGATTACTTACTGCTCTCATTATACATTTGACCAGAGACCTGTTTTTTAAACATGGTATGAGAGCATTTAAAAATGTAGGCATTGAGGATAGTATAAAACCTCATTAAAAGAAGGCTGGAATGCTTGCAGTGTCTTTCACATTAATATCAGCCAATCCAAATGTAGCGGTCTAAGTGATGGGCGATAATAAACTATGTGTCCTGATGCAAAGGTCATATAGCCACGTCCTAGAAAAGCAAGCAAAGCCAACAGCACCTACCTGATTTCCTGTTGGCAAATTCACTGTGAAGACTCAGAGATCACCAACAACATTGGCCCAGAGTTAGCTACAGTCCTCTTACTCCAAAACTGTTTCAGCCAGCACTGGTAACGAACAAGGGTACCATGGCCAAACTCCAAAATTACAATTGATTATCTTCCTTTTTCCGATTGCAGCACATCACTCCACATCACTTGCTAAACATGCTGTCTCGCCTGACAAACGGTTCAGTTGAAACGAGTGAAACAGAAAGAGATGTATATGTCACACCCACACCCCTTTCTTCCTGTCTAAACACATATTGGTGTGCAGCCTTGCAAAACCAGAAAGACTATATGAAAGTCCCTAAACTTCGATAAACAACACATTATGATACCAGCCTGCACTTCAATTCATACACCACTGAGCAAAAGTCACCTAACGCGCTTCATTTATTTAATTTCCAGTCAAAACTGCAATTCATTTTGCAGGAAATTTCTGAGGAGATCAGATAAAACATAAGATTGAACTTGCATAAGAAAAGTCACAGGAAATTAGGAGAAAAAACATGAGTTTCCAAAACTAGAGTTCAAAAATGATTAAAAGATGTAAAAAAATGGATCTGTGCAAGACCTGCTAGACCACCAAAACTCACACCATCAGATAAACAGCACTTAAAGCTTCCATCTTTGAGAGAGAGCAGAATAAAAGCTCCACTCTTGCTTCTGAAAAAAAACGTGTCCATCCCACCACTGTGAGAAGACAACTCAAAGAATGTGGAGCTGTTAAAAAGCCATTACTGAGAAAAAGAAACAGGCGGAAAATAAGAAAATTTGAAAATCAAACAACGAAGCTGCTGGAGTTCGTAGAACAACGGACTGTGCACCCCAGAGTCCAGACCTCAACATCACTGAATGTGTTTGGGATTACTTGGATAGTGGGAAGCAAAAATGCAACCAAGTGCTAAGACTGAACTTATCCTCACAGATGTCTTTGAAAAACTTCCGAAAAGAATGGAAACTGTAAAGCAAAGGGTGGACGCACTAAATACTGAACAATTTTATATTACTTTCAGTTTCAGGGCCTTCTGTGTAAACGTCTGTTAAATGTCTGTTTTCTGCTTTTTTGTCTGATACTGCCTGTACTTGTGCTCGTTTTGACTGGAAACGAAATAAATCATGAGTGCTCTCTGAGTGTTGCACAATATAGTGAGCATCTACTAATATTTTCAACTAATATCTTTGCGCTCATACTCGTAAGGTGCTACTTCCTCTTTTTGCCCGTTGCACAGATGTAAAGATGTGGCACTCTGCACCTGACTGCGAGGATGTGGTCAAACCAGGCCTGGTGTGTTTTCCTCTAAAAGAGTTCAGCGTACATCATCAGTGCTAACAAAGAGAATGCTTGCTTGAACATTACGATATGATCAATATGTGTGATGTTTTTCTTTTCTCTGAGGTTTATTTTCTCTATCAAACAAGGAATCTATTCCATGAACATTAGTTGGGCAATTTCAAAGTCCATTAACAATATTACTGTGTTGGAAACATGCAATGCTGCTAGAGTAATGTGTCATGTTGCTCACTACTGGGTCCCAGCCGCTGTGTTTCAAGCTGTGGCTGTGTCTTCTAAACCACCACTGCAGAAGTGAAACCATGGATAGTGACTTTCCAGTAAACAAATTAAACAAATCAAGTGTGGGTTCTGAATTGGTTTCAGTAAATGGAAGTTTAAGGCACTTTAAAAAAAGCAACAAATGAGAAGCAAGCTGACCTGCAAAACAGGAACTCCGTGAGTGAGATTCAAAGTGCTACAACGCTCAAATACAGTACTGTGCAAAGGTAAGAAATCAAAACTGCCATTAAGTACAAGTCATTCATTTTTCAGCATCAGGAAAAAAGCAAGAAGGTCTTGCATGGCTGTTAGGAGTCCCATTTTCTCTTTTCATGTATTTTCCATTGACGTTTCCCTACCTCATGAAAGTGGATTTTCTTTTATCTAATCTCCTCATATCATGAACAATAAATAACTTTTACTTATTGGATGCACTGACTGGAAATTACATAAATGAAGGGTGGTCTCTGACTTTTGCACAGTCCCGTACATGCAAATTCAGTGAACTAGGTTTTATTTCTATAAACAAATGTCATAATTCTTGGCCGAAGGATTTAAATGTGCTATTTGGGCCTTGCATTACGACACTGATCAGGCTTTTCTATCTCTTGTTTACAGAACCCATTCCAAAAAGAAGTGACCAGCCCTAAACAATCGCAATTGTCAAGATATTTCCATGACATGCTTCAGTTCCCTTTCCTTGATAATGTAAGCAAGTATTCTTTGTGGGAGGAGGCTATGGTCTAAAAATATCAACAGTGCTCATTTGCAGGCCAAGGCTCTTGGTATTCAGGGTCTCTATCTAATGTCCAGGACCTTTTCATTGCATTTGTAATGGACATATTTATCATGAACGTGCTTTGTGTCTTATTTCCAGTGAGGACCGTGCTGTATCTGGCAAGAGACCTTTCAGATTTTCTTTTCTTTTAGTTGGACTCATATTCCTGCTTGAGCTTTCATGGGCATCCTCTGCAGAGCAAAACAATTTAAACATCATTAAAATGTTTTTTTCATCCCTCAACACTAGAATCAAAGAGTTCTTTGCCTGATTCCTCACTGATTAGGGATGTTGTGTTAGTTTGCTTTCATTTTCAGCTGGCAGTGTTTTGGAGACCACATGCTGACCTTGGTTGCTGGACTTCTTCTGGTTATCACGGCCCGCTCCCTCAGGCATGGTGTGACTATGGCACAGGAAGTAGAAACCTGCAAAAGACCTTACATTAGAACACTGCAGTTTAAATTTAACACAGTAAAAATACCTTTTTATAAATAACGAAGGGTTTCTAAATACATTCCAGTTCAGTCTGTGCTGAAAGTACAATGCTTTATCTTATTCAACCAAGTGAACATTAATGTGAATGAGTGTGAGGCTTTGAACGAGTTTAGAGTTTCTGTTTATGTGAAGCATTCTGTGTGGAAAGAAATGTTCCCAATCACTCAATGAAAAATCTCTCAGTGCTGGAGCTGTCAACCCCCAGGTGCACTGTATAACACATTCATACTCAAAGCAGAAAACATGAGCTTGGAAGTGGGGCAGAACTGACAGCCAGTCCTGACCACAAAGGTCAAGAGGGGAAAGGTATGTTCTATTGGACGTGCACTTCTTATGTGCAGTTTTTCTCTTTTTTTGCATGTCATGACTGTCAAATGAAAAACTTGTAATTTTTTTTCAGCTGGACAGTGCCAGCTGTCCTTTGCATTATATGAACATTTTTACGATGGATGAATAAAAATGTTCCAAACTTATTTGGAACACAATTTGGAACAGTTTAAATAATTGAAATGTTAACATTCAGAGTGATTTGATGTGAAATGATGCATTCTAGAGATTCTCTGATTTTCTTCACAGTGGTAATAGTAACCAGGGGTCACAATGTCTACAATGCAAATATAGCCATTTTATTTTCTACTCAAAACTCCTGGTATACCCACAGGTGTTTTTCAGATTCTGTATGCAATGTTGAGTTTTATATGCAAGTTAACAATGGTGCAATCTGAAAAAGTTCTCTTTGGGAACTATCTCACTGTACAGGTACCTTTTTGCCATGAATGGACTAAAAAATACATTTCAGGCCAAAGCCTCTAAACACTATTGTAAAACAATGCCTCAGGCATCAGGTGGTGTATTGTAACCATTTCATGAGATAGCTTTCTGTGATGTAGCTTTTAAAGGCATCAAATGCTTTGGTTGTCTGGTTCATTTCACCACTACTGTGAAGAATTCTGACTCTGTAAGTTTCTCTAAAACAGAGCATTTTGCATCAAACCACTCTGAATGACTTTGTTTACATTTTAACTATTTATTACGCAGAAATTTGACAAATCAGTGGAATTCCTCTTTAATTGTTTTCCCTTTCGTATAAAGTTACCATTTTAGAGCAATAGGACAGATAAAACCTACAGGATTCACCAGTGGACAAAACAGAAGCATGAATAGTAGTCGTAGAACATGACTCTTATTCCGTTGAATTTCCTTCTAATAGTGTAGAGAGAAAAGCTAAAGGCAATGGTCCTTCTTTATCAGTGCTGCAGTGCCTTCCGTTTCTTTCACTGAAAGAGGAAGGCTTTGGGGAAAAAAGCATTGGGGGAAAAAAAATACGTTCGGAGCCAAAACAATTAAAGAGCTGAAACCTAATAGAAGTTGTTTGGGAAAGAGGGGGAGGGGGTGCTATAACCTCGTAGAAGCTTTCTTCTGCCTTTTTCTCCTTCTCTCTCCTTTAAAAGAGGAGAAAGCTGAACATATGTAATGGTTGGCTTGGACACAAGAATGTGCTCCTCTCTTGCCCGAGCAGTGTGTTGAGCATGTGTCCTGTCGGCACAATGGGGACTGGCGCTCCAGTGAAAGGAAATCATTAGGGCTGACAGGGCTAGGCTACGAAGCACTTGTGTTTGTTTTTGGTGTTGGGATAGAACCTGTCCCACAGTGACACCTGCCCTTGGCCTTCACTCCACACACTCCCGTCTCGCCCTTCCGTCAGAGAACACCACCAGCAGGGGGTTCAGCTTCACAAAGACCTGCTCAAAGCTTTCCAGCAGATTTCCATAACTCAGACAAGGCTGGGAAGGCTAGACATTTGCCTTTTCCTCTGACTTCTGCTGTTTCACCAAAAGGTTACCACTTCCAACTCTAAGAAACCATATGTGGGCCCACCTGAGTTCCTCAGCCTCACAACTACATAATTTACATATAGGTTTAGTAGTAGTTACTAGAGCCTGACTGATACTGAAAATTTGTGACAGATGCCAATGCTAAGTAGCAGTGCCGATATAATTTATATGGGCCCAAGTTAAACAGGCTCCAGTTAAACAGAGCTTCACCAATTGATATAGTGGTCAGTTGCCAACTGTGAATTGTCAAGCATGACTGTCAGGTCTCAGTGGTCATGATTCTCAAGTTTTAAATAATGTAAATATCATAGTGCGAGGGCAGAGCTTCCAACAATTCTAAGTGGATTTGTTCATTTCTTTTAATACTTTTCTTATTTTTCATCAGTTTGTAGGTGGATTTTACGTTTTTGTGTGATCAGGAATCATGGACATTCTTTCAAACATGAATGGTCATGACCAAAAATGTTCTAGCAGTTTATCTTAACAGTTGGACTGTATAGCTGTGCTGACAGCAGCAAACAGTTTCTCCTCCATCTTGCTCAACATCAAAATCAATGACTGAAGTCCTGCCCCAGACTGTCTCTTATTGGCTGAAGTATGGTAACATTAGAGAATGTTCTGATAAATGTTCAACTCTGGTGAACTTTTTAAATAGTCAAAATAGTGTGAATTTACACATAGCAAGAGGTGCATTTTTGTCGGATACCAAAATGCACTTTTGAACGAGACAGTAGTAGAACCTATGGTGGCCAGGTTTTCTGCCATCGCCTGTCCAGATTTCCTTTTGCTTCTTCATGTTTTCACTTCTTTCACTTTTTCTTGTGCTAAATAATAAGTATGATCCTCCATTTGTCAAAATTTGGGTTTTCAAACTTCTCACAGTACAAAATGGTTAGCCAGCACTGGCAGCTAAAACCATGAAAGGCACTTTCTAAAGCGTTTTGGTTTGGTTTCTGGGCTACTGTAGACACATGGCGGTGCAACATGTTGGAAAAAGATGTATATGTACATTGTAATCTATCGAAAACACAGCGATTCAGAGTTACAGGTGCTTACATACTAATGAACACATGGTTTTCTATACTACATTCCAGTTCTGCTAATAGACCCCCCTAAATCTTACACACTGCTCCTTTAAGATTGATAGCTGAATGATAAGCCTAGGATTCAAAGGATTAACATTAACAGGGGAGTTTTGATTTATGTGTGGTAATAAGGAGGTGTCTTATCTCACGGCCTAGTACACTCAAGACAGTCTAGGTCAATAACTCCTACTATAGAGGCACTTATGTGTGCCTTCATACTTTCGTTGCACTTAATACTTGTGAGCCAAGCGTAATGATCTGTTTTGGACTTCTCTGCAACCAGAGCAAAATTAAAAATGAGTCTGGCTCGTCGCCATGCACTGTCTTTCAGCGCAATTCCTACCACACGCCCCCAGGCCTTTCAGAGCCCCATTTCCAGTGTTGCCTCATTAAAAGGCATCTCACTTCCTGTAACTGTGACCGCGAAGGCTTCAGAACGCTACGCGACTCCGCGGTTAGGCCTCGTGTATACTTTTTTGGCTCCAGAGCTTGTTTGCCGAATTCCACAAATGGAATTGCGGTAAGAATTAACTCTGCCCCCACCTCTACAGCCGCGGAGGGTCTAATAGCGGGTAAGCGGCTGTGTTAAGGGGGGGTTAGGGGGTGTGTTAAGGGGGGTTAGGGGGTGTGTTAAGGGGGGTTAGGGGGTGTGTTAAGGGGGGTTAGGGGGTGGGTTGGGGGGGGTATTTTCAGGCCAAGTGGAAATGGGCCAACATCTGGTTAGCCAACCCAGAGGTTAGCTTGAGGCTAACACCACTCTGTAGCTCCTAATGCAGAGCGCCGACCTCAGTGTCAAAGTGCAGCCTAACATGCTCCTCAAGCAAAAACGATGTCATCATGAAAAATGCACAGAGGGAGGACTTGTTCCGCCCTGTAATTTCACGTGTAAGTCGTATCTCGCGTGGCATGCTTCCAGGTGCATCCGCGTGCTTCTTCCAGCCCAGCTTCTTCTTCAGCCTGACAAACACTCCTGCTGACAGAGCCCTGCTACACAGCTGGACAGCTGTGTGTGTGAATGTGTTTGTTTTCGCACATTTTCAGTCCGTAAATCAGAGTAAAACAGGACTAACCTGATGATGATCCCATACTGGCCTTTCACAATTACTTCAATATTTTCACTGACCACAGTTATTTTCCACAGTTGGTAGCTTTCACAACCAGATATTTATGTGGCAAGAAACAGAATGTGAACTTCTGACTGGTGGTATAACAACTTAAGAGGGCGGCAGTGAGTAAAATTTTATGCTTATCTAATGTTTGTTAACACCTTTAGATGTCTGCAGTGAGCACTGTTTGTTTATTTGAGCGTAACCTGTGTCTGTCGTCAGTTGGGAGCTACTAAGTATCGATAGCAAGGAAGACAGCTAATCAGCCAATGTGACCACTTTAGCCTTGTATAAACAATGAATATAAAAAGCTAACTAAATTGTTAATCACAATTAATCACGAAAACTTCCTGATCGTGACGGGCCTTAGCCCACGTCCTGACTTTGTATGAAAAACAAGTGAGTTTTTGTGTATAAGCGTGTGTGAGAATGTGTGCGTGAGTGTTTGGAGGGGTAAGGAGGGAGTTTTTCCCTTCGTGTGACTGATTGTGGAGAAGGCGCAGGACAATTCCAGGTTAAAAATGCGTCGTGTGAGAGGGATCTGAGTTGTATAATTTAAGAATGACTAATCACACGCATTACAGCCTAATATAATCCAGCTGGCTCTTGACAATGTCATACAGAACGTCAGCGCAGACAGCAGACAGCATTCTAATCAAACAGTGATGTCATTATACTTGAACCAGCAGAATGAAACAAATGAACTGCATGTTAGCTTGTGGTTTTAATATAGGAGAAAAGAACATTAAAACAGTACATACAATGGAAATCTGTGAGCCATTAGCTGCATATGATTTTACACAGTGAGAAGGGCTGCTGTGGAGCTACTGTAAACAGCGATGTGTATTCATTACATCGAGTGCAGGCTTCCCCCAACACTCTCACACTCACACACACTCCAGAG